CGTGCCTACGCTCGAGTTTGGCGATCTTATCTTCAAGCTGTTCTGAATGAATGCTACTTTTGATTCCGCCAATGCGGCGATGTAATAATTTATGTAATTCCGCACTATTTGTACTCTGATATTATCATTGTATGGATGTGATATTCGACTGGAATGTGGGTAATATGATCTACAACGGTCTTATTACACTTCGACTCTGTGGATTTCCCTTCGCGGAAATCGGGGTTGTTTCACCCATGGTCGCGCCCCACCTCCGCACGCGGCTTCTCCCTATCACCCCTCTGTCGGCGGCGGCGGGTTTCAGTGGCGGCGAGGTAAGCCTCCTCCTCCTCGATCTCCGAGCTAGGGTTCCAGGAGTTCTCCTCTCATCTTCTCTAACTCGGTGGGCTTAGAAAGGGAGGGTTTGGGGGAGAAACGCTGGTCAGGAGGTGGGGATGCCGGTAGGCGGTTCAGGGGCCCTGGCAGCGGTGGAGGCGGCCGGACAAGGGCAGGGCGGGGGCGCGATGGCCATGGCGACGATGACGACGGGGGGGAAAGGAAAGAAAGTGGCGCCGCAAGCGAGCTAGGGTTTCGCCGGAGCTCCGCTGCTCGCCATGGCAGGGCGGTGGCCGGTGGGGTACGATGGTGGGACCACGACGGTGGGGCGGTGGGACCACGGTGCTGAGGAAGAAGATGAACGAGAGAGAAAGCACGTGTCGAAGCGGGCCGCCGTGCGACTGGCCTAACACACCGTGTCCGTACAAGTTTTCACCATCTAACAACCTTCTATATCTTGAGCTTATTTGGCTGCGGCAGCTGCAGTGTTGCTACAGTACTTTGTGAGAGGAGAATAAACCGTAGCCTGCAGGAGTCAAATTATTCTCGTCTCACGAAGTACTATACGAGAGATGTAGTTATAGTTACAGCCACAGCAGCCAAATAGGCTCCTTATGGTGCCGTTCGCTGGTCTGGAAGTTCCAGACCAGCCGGCTGGTTCCCCTCATATTTCACTGTTCATCAAACTAGCCGAACAGTGTTTATCTCTCACACAACCAGCCAGTTTGTTTCAGACCAGCGAAAGGAGATCTTAATTCATTGATGCATTAATTATGATCATATTTGAAGAAATGAATACATCGAAACATGATCATATATATTTCCATACTATAATATACCACATTTTAAGGTATCGAAGTTTTGACGGTTCTTCCTCTTGCAGCCAGATCATGATATACAAGTGAAACTGTTCTGAAGTCATTCAGAAAGACTGATATATAAATGAAATAACTGAAATGTCCGTAGGACTGATAGATAATGCTCTAGTGACCTAGTTAAATTGAAAAGATAAAATAATAACTTATCTATAAAGATCTCTAATTATTATTATTGTGCATCGCGTTTTCCTCAGACTCAGTTTACTGGTCATCCACAGTGCTTCACCACCAGCCGTACGATCCACGCTCCATGTGCTGGATGGCCGCCACGCTCGCATGCTGCCGCCGTGCTCCTCCTGCTTCCTCGGTCAGCCTTATCCTCTCTCCCCAGCCCCACCGACGGCTGCCAAAATAACGCCTCCGCGCAGGCGGCCGGCCCGGCGCCACCCCACGTCCCCACCTGTGCGGCGCAGCCCGCCCGTGGTCGCTGGAGCGACTGCCGCGCCTACCGCCGCCCGCGTTTCGCCCCTGCCGAGGTCGCGGCGCCCCTGCCGCGTTCGACGACGCCCGCTGCCCCGTTCCCCGTGCAACGCCGACTCTGCCCCCGCCGGTGCTGTCTCTCCCTCTTCTCCCCTCTCCTCTTCTCTGCACGGATCTACCAATTCCCGTCCAGGAATCATCGGATTTCCCTTCTTTTCCCTTTGTCCTCAGCAAGCGGTGACAGCTCCCATGTCGGCCCTTCAACACCGCGATGGAGGGGTACAAGGCGGGGTGCTGCACGGCGGCAAAGGAGGGCCTGACGCGTGGTGCTCAGCGCCGGCTACGAAGGGGTCTCAGGGCGGCCGCGTAGGCCTGTGCGCCGCCGCGCTAGGGTTCGAGGCTGGGCTGGGCACCGGCGATGGAGGGGTCCGAGGCGGTGTGCAGCTGGGCGCCTGCAACGAAACTCGGCAGGATTAAGGTACACTAACCTCAACTGTCGCTGTTTGTTTTCAATTGGACCTATTGAATATTCCCATGAGAGACAATTACATCTGCAACTGCTGGCTGTGCACCAGGTGCTCCATAAAACGCGTTGCTATACGAATTTCAAGCCTCACGAGATACAAATTTTCCTATTTCGTCTTATTTCCTCCTTTCTTTTTACCTTGCATGCATAAGGCGAGAACTCAACATTGGCTACACTTGAAGTGGAATAAGTTACAGTGATGCCAAAACTAAGTAGAGAGGATTAAAGAGTGCAGGAACTAAAGAAGGTCAGTGGACCTATCTCATGTTCTTTTTGCTATATTGATTTTTTCTGCTCTGCATCTATTTTGCAAACACTTCATATGGATGATTAATATTTGTTTTGCACCTGTCATCGTAGCGAACCGTGATTCCCAGTGCCATTGAGCATAGAATAGATGTAATAAGCTGACCTAATCAAATGTCAATACGGCAACACTTCATATGGATGATTAATATTTGTTTTGCAACTGTCATCGTAGCGAACCGTGATTCCCAGTGCCATTGAGCATAGAATAGATGTAATAAGCTGACCTAATCAAATGTCAATACGGCAACTTCTGATGAGCATGCACACTGTGTAAGTTGTTTTTCTCCCTGTCTGAATCAGTAAAATAAACAGCGATAGTTTTTCAGCAACCATATTCTAATCTAAGTCAATAGACTGACAATGAACATATATTTAAATTGATTTGACTCTCAAATACCCCCTTCACAGCAAATCGCTGCTACAAAACTAGGTGTCGACTGTCATACTATAGAGCAATATTTTCGTATTCATAGTTTCTTCCTTTTCATTTTAAGTCTATTGTAGTTGCCATCATCACATTTGTGTGCCTTACTGTCATTGGTGCTAAACTTAGTGTCAGTGCTTTATGTTGTGGCCAAGCCGTCAGCTCGCCATAGACACTGAGCTACTCATCAGCTTACATGGAAATTACCGTTGCCATAGGGTTCGGGATGTAAACCAGGGACCATGGTAATGTCTTGCAGAACGTTGGGAGCGCCTCTCTTAAAGCTGTAGCTTCACACGTGCTATGACCACCAAATTTAAAGATCAGATTTTTATGTACCCTAAATGCCTTCCGACGGTTATCAAAGAGCAGCAGTACAGGAACTAATCCTGCACGGTTGTAATTTGTGACTGTTTATGTCCTATTTGTCTACTGATGATATATTGGCTAAGACCATACATTGTTTTTTGTGTCAAGCATACTGTTCTGCTCAAAGATAAGCGCATGTTACTATTTCTGTGATGATTGGCATGAAAACTTACCTGTTTACACAGCTGTTCCTGCTCCATGGAGTCTAATACAGTTGGTTTATTTGTTCACAGCAGAAAAAAAAGGTTTCCGTTGCCAGACTAAAAATAAAAACATTTTGACCTCCTAAGTAGTGGTCCTCCAAATTTTAGTTGTACTACAAGTTTGCAGTGGTCCAACATTCAGTTACTGGGATACTATATACTGATTCTGTTTTACTCCGCTTATTTAGTGTACTACCTTTGGTACCCTCTAGATTTTTTCCCGCATGCGCTCTTATGACCATATTTTTTTGAGCTTACACCCGGTTGCTTCCTTTAGTCTAAACTTATGAGAACACACTTACCATATTGGCAAAATTTGGTCACAACAGGTGTGTGCAGCAATTGACTATCCAATTCCGACTTCGATTTTCCTCATAGTATACAGACTGCAAATGCCTACCAGTAAGCAACAGGCCATATTTGCTAATTTAGTTTTTGTTTCCTCATATTGTTCTTCGGTTTGCAAATGTTATACCCTTCGACTTTGCACCTAACATAGGTACTTTTCAATCTGCCTGCACAGTTCCAGGTCCTCGATGTTTTATCTTTCATGATCATAATCAGTCTGATGGAACACATCCCACAACAATCCTCGCTCGCCTGGTGGACAGCTTTGCCAACCATTGAAAGTTCTTTGGCCCGTAGCAAAATGAGCTTCCATATCCAACTGAAACATCCATGTACTATGCTGACATTGGCTCAAATGACAACTCATTTGTAACTAATTTTGCTAATCTTTTTGTTCCTTGGAGCCTATTTAGTTTCCAAAATTTTGCAAAATTTTTCAAGATTCCCCGTCACATCGAATCTTTGGACGCGTGCATGAAGCATTAAATATAAATAAAAAATAAAACTAATTACACAGTTTAGACGAAATTTACGAGACGAATCTTTTAAGCCTAATTAGATTATGATTGGACACTAATTGCCAAATAACAACGAAAGTGCTACAGTACAATTTTCCAAAAAAAAAATTTATCCAACTAAACCACCCCTTGTATAATCATATGATGTGCTATAATTCCGGCTTGCTAACGCGTGCGAAGCACGGGGGTACCTGCTAGTTCTTAGAGATGTCGTCGAGCAGATGGAGCGAATTGGGCCAAACATCTTTTCGTCGGGCCAGGCCCAGGCCTCCTCCGGCGCGCCTCGCCTTCTTCTCCCGTGGATCAATCATCAGAATTGGAGTCAGAACTCGACGCCTCCCACCAATGGTGGCACCCGTCCACCCGACCCGAGTGGTCTCCGTACTCGGATTCCGATTGCAATTGGAAATGACGAAGAGGAACTGGAAGCAATGCTTCCGCAGCCTCGATTCTCGGTCGGTGCCCTCGCATAATAAATCCCAACTCGTGGCGTCGACGAGCTGCAGAAACAATTCTCCAATCCCCTTTCGTGGTAGCCTAGGGTCGAGCGGAGCCCCTGGGCCCATCCACCGAATAAGCGGCCGCCGCCGCCGCCCGCCCGCCCGCCACCAGCAGTCGCATCGGGCCCTAGCCGCACGCCATGGCGACGGCGTACCCGGATGGCCGGATTGGGCGGGCCTTCCAACGGAGATGGTGGCCACGGTGATGGGGGTCGCTGGACATCCCGGACCTGTTCCGCGCCGGCTGCGTCTGCTCCTCCTGGTACGCCGCCTACTCCGACGTCCGCCGCGTTCCGCATCCCCATCACCGACACGGCCCCGTGCCTGCTCTACTCGGCCCGCGGCGACGACGACGCCAGCGCCGCCACGCTCTACAGCGCCACGAGCGGCGCGACGTTCAGGGTCCGCCTGCCGGACCCACCGCTGCGTCTGGCTCGCCACGGCCGACGAGGCGTCCAACCTGCACCTCGTGAACCCGCTCTCAGGCGCGCAGGTGGCGCTGCCGCCCGTCACGACGCTCTACCATGTGGAGAGCTTCCTGGACGGCGGGGGCAGCCTCGTGTACTCCGTCCAGGAGAGCGAGGACCGGGACAACCCCGAAGAGCCGCCGGTGCAGTACCCGGCGCAGAAGCTGCGCCTGTTTCTGTACTACAAGGTGGTCATGTCCTGCAGCCCTTCCAAGGGGAGAGACTGCGTCGTCCTCCTCCTGCACCGGCCGGGATACGGTGGGATGATCCAATCAAAGATCTTATGTTCACACCGTCGGGTGATGTCTTGCAAGTGTGGAGGTTGAAAGAAATCGAGCGTTTAGCCACTCCCGTTGAGCTTCCTTTGGGGGTTGCCCATGAGGTTGATGATCCATGCTTGGTATCTCGCATAACAGAGTCTTGCATCCACAAGGTTGACATTGATAAACAGGATCGCGTGAAGCTGACGAGCATTGGAGACCACGCTTTGTTTCTTGGTTATAATTCTGCGGTGTACCTTTCTACCAAGGATTTCCCACAGTTGAGTCCAGACTCTGCTTATGTTACCGATGGCTTTGACGAAGAAATGTGTGGCAATAAGCACAATTTGAGGGAGATTGGCATCTGGGACTTCAAAACTGAGACACTACGTGGCTTTGGTGAGGTCCAATCTCGCAATCCATGGCTTAATTGGCCTGCACCAATTTGGATAACACCGTCTCTTCATTAGGGGGGGAAGAATTATGCTGGAGAGATGTCCACAGTGGTAGTCCTACTGAACAACACATTCCCTAGTCCTATTGGTAGTCCGAGTAAAATCACCTATGTGCGGATGAACTACAGGAGAATTAAGAGGGCCATGTTTGGCGGGGCTTCAAGCGGCTTTTAGCTCCTTTCTACAATGTTAATAAGGAGCCGGAGATGACGACACAAAAAAGAACACTTTTTAAAATGTCACAAGTTGTTGTAATCCATGAAATTTAGGGTGGAAATTGAAAAGGACCTTAATTAGTATTGACGTGGTGAAGTGAAGCTTAAAAATGATTTCACCAACTCAACTCATTCAAAGTAAAAAGAGAAAAACTTCATAAGTAATGAAGAAAAGAAACTTTATGATTATGATGAGCAGTGGCGTGAACCATACGTGGAGGAGGCGGGGATTAGTATATATGTCAAAATTCGTCAGAGTTGAAAAAAAATGCAGAAAGATGTTAAAATGCAGCAGAATAAACTGTTATGAAATTCGGTGATGAACTGATAAATGATGTGCTTTATTCAGAAAGATGCATTTTATTGTGGCAGCAAAAACACTGAAGTAGTAAGACCTCGCGAACAATGAAATAAGAACTGACATTCAGAACAGAGTGTTCAGTGCTCCCAGAGTTGAAGAGCAGACATGCAACAGGCATTCAGAACGAGACGGAGATGCCGAGGAGGTCAAGGACGCGAGCCACGAACTGCGCAAGGTCCATCCAGCTCGCCGCCGTCACGAGCTTGCCATCAACGACCGCCCCCTCGGCCTCCACGGCCTCGGCGCCAGCCAGCCTGGAGACGACCCGCATGGGCACCCCGCTGGCGCACTTCTTGCCCCTGAGCAGCCCCGCCGCGGCGAGGAGCAGGTGGCCCTGCCCGATGCTGGCCACCACCTTGCCCTTGTCCGCGAACTCCTTCACGAGCGCCACCGCCCTGTCGTGCGTCACCAGCAGCTCCGGCGCGCGGCCGCCGGGCACGACGACGCAGTCGTAGTCGTCGGCGCTGGTGTCGGCCCAGTCGGCGGTCACGACGAAGTTGTGGCCCCGCCTCTCCTCGCTGACCGTGACCGTGGCGCCCGGCGGGGCCGGCGCGCCGGCGTCGTAGATCGCCGTGACGACGGACTCGCCCTTGCGCTTGGTCGGGCACGCGGATTCGACGTGGCAGCCCACGCCCGCCAGCGCCCGGAACGGCACGTTCGCCTCGTAGTCGTCGACGTAGTCCTGCACACGGCCAATCAAGATCAGCGGCGGCGCCACGAGCGGCTGGCGAACAAGGCAAACTTCCAGAAGAAGGACGGCGATGGGGAAGGGAAAGGTCGCTAGCTAGATAGCTCACGGCGCAGAGGACGAGGACGCGCCGGCCGCCGCCGCGTCCGGCGTCGACGACGACGCGCGCGCCCATGGCGTGGAGGAGCTTGGCGACGATCTGGGCGTGCGCGGGCCATCCGATGGCGGAGAGCACGTGCCCGTCGGCGACGCAAAGCTCGAAGGGTTCCGGATCCACCCACGTGCCCCCCGCCATCTCCACGACGTGCCGCAAGCTGAAGAACGCCGTGCAGCGCACCCCGCCGCTGAGCCCGCCGGCCGCGGCGAGCAGGAGCTGGCTGTGGCACGTGAGCACCAGGGGCCTCCGCAGCGCCGCGAACGCCGCGACGAGGTCCACGACGGCCGCGTCCGCGCTGAGCTGCTCCGTGAACCGCCCGCCCGGGATCACGAGCGCGTCGTAGCAAGACGGGTCCGCTGACGCCGCCGCGAAGTCGGCGGTTATCGTGAACCGGTGGCCCGTGAGCTCCGTGTAGAGCTGCGGGCGGCGTGCGTGCGTGCGTGAGGATGGATGGATGGGATGGGATGGGGTGGGGTGGCTGCTGGTTAGGAGTAGTACGTGACGTGACGTACCTCGAAGCCGAGGAAGTCGTGGACGGCGGTGAGGCAGGAGTCGCCGGGGCTCTTGCCGGGCGCGGCGCAGTCGACGGTGATGCCGAGGGCGGCGAGGGCGTAGAGCGGGACGGCGGCCTCGTAGTCCTCCATGTAGTCGCCGCAGAGCATGAGGACCTTCCTGGGGGCCGCCATGGATGGACCTGATCGATCCTTGCTCGCTCTGGACCTGCAAGCGTGCTAGTGACTCGTGAGTAGTAGTGACACTGGCAGCTAGCGTAGGAGTGGGCGCGCTGGAGTAGCTCTGAGTTTCTGATCGATCTGCTCACGTCGATCACGACTGGTGGATCGACCGCTGAAAAAAATGGTCCAAACATTCATGGTAGATGGGAACAGGATTATGAGCGAAAAAGAGAGAGAAGGGGACAGGATTAGCGCAGTCCAACGCTTCTTTACAGAACAATTTTTTATCATGTTTTTCTCGTGGTTTCTATGATGTTTACTCTTTCTCTCTAATAAATATCTTGTCACATCAGTAAAACACTTAGACAGCAGTCTATAAAAACGAATGGTTGTGTTTAGTTCGCGAAATGAAAAATTTTGAATGTTACGTCGGATATTTTGGGATGTCGGAGAAGGTTTTCGGATACTAATAAAAAAACTAATTACATAACTCGTCTAAAAACTACGAGACGAATTTATTAAGCCTAATTAATCCATCATTAGCGTAGGTTAGTTATTGTAGCACTTATGGCTAATTATGGACTAATTAGTCTTAAAATATTCGTCTCGCGATTTCCAACCAAACTGTGCAATTAGTTTTTTTTCGTCTATATTTAATACTCCATGCATGTGCCGCAAGATTCGATGTGATAGTTTGGGGTGAAAATTTTTTGGAACTAAGTGCGTGTTTAGTTCGCGAAATTTAGAAAATTAGGCTACTGTACCACTTTCGTTTTTATTTGTCAATTAGTGTTCAATCATGAACTAATTAGGCTCAAAACGTTCGTCTCATAATTTCCAACCAAACTGTGCAATTAGTTTTTTTTCGTCTATATTTAATGCTCCATACACATATCACAAAATTTGATGCGATGGATAGCACTTTTTCGAAAACTTTTCGCGAACTCAACCAGGCTAAGGGCCTGTTTAGATTTAAAAAAATTTACGCAGTATCTGTCACATCGAATCTTACAGCACATGCATGAAGTATTAAATATAAACGAAAAAAAACTAACTGCACAGTTGGATGAGAAATCGCGAGACGAAACTTTTAAATCTAATTAATCCATAATTAGACCCTAATTACCAAATACAAACGAATGTGTTACGGTAACCAAAATCTAAAAATTTTTAGATCTAAACGGCGCCTAAACCAGGCCTGACAGTGCGAAACGATAGGATCGAATCTCTGTTCCGGATCCCGAGTCCTGACAACGCACGTGTTCAGGGCATGGGCATCGCATGCTTCACGCGTGATTCCCGGATGAGCCACGGCCACGGATCGAGAATTCGAGACGGCCAGAGAAATGAAAGCCCTGTACTTGCGTTCCTAAAATTAAGTAACATCGAATATTTAAGATACATATATAAAGTATTAAATATAAATTAATTATAAAATTAATTATATAATTTACGCCTAATTTTACATACGACTAATTAGTTTATGATTTGATAACATAGTACTACAGTACATATGTGCTAATGATAGATTAATTAGGTTTAAAAAATCGTCTCATAAATTAGCTTGGTTTTGTAATTAATTTATATTTAACGCTCTTTATTACTATCTACACATTCGATGTGATATGAATTTTAGCAGTGACTAAAGAACCAAATAGCCCCTTAGGACAGTCCCAATAGAATAAACTAATGCGATTTTCATATCATAAGAAATTATGTATAGAAACTATCTTCCACAGTGAAGGTGTCTTTGTGTAATATTTATTTTCTCTTTCCCTCTCCTAACTCTATCTTCTTCCTCTAATGAGAGTGTGGCACGAGCCCCCTGGAAACTGGTGGTTTCTCCCCAATGACAATTTCATGGGCCCCGTTCTGCTGGCTGAAACTTGACTGAAACTGGCTGGTTGTGTGAGAGAGAAACACTGTTAGCTGGTTTGATGAACAGTACCATAAGAGGCAAACCAGTCGGTTGGTCTAATGGCTTCAGACCAGCGAACGCCCCCATGGTTTCTTGGTGCATTGGGTCAAGAGAAGACCTGATTTCTTCATGAGGAAACCATTTCTAGGATTTTTCTCTCTTTCTTCATTAATTACGTTGCCATGTCAATATTTTACCTACGTGGTAAGTCATTTAATGAGGATAGAAACCATCATCAATAAATCATTGGGACTGCCCTGGCTATACAGTAATTAGTACTTAATCTATCCCAAATTATAAGACGTTTGACTTTTTTGACACCAAGTTTGACCATTCGTCTTATTTAAAAATTTATGTAAAATATCATTTCTTTCGTTGTGGTTTGGTTTATTAATAAAAATTCTTCAAGAACGACTTAAATTTGACTATATTTGTACAAATTTTTTGAATAAGACGAGTGGTCAAACTTGAGACAAAAAGTCAAACGTCTTACAATTTGGGATGGAGGGAGTATTAACATAGCACGTGTCAGGAGAGGTTAGGTGACTACACACATGTGGATTGCTTATATTATCCGCCTTTGAGTCGGTAGAGTAATTTTTGTGCATGGTGCTGGGCGCGCCACGCCGTGACGATGATTTAGGCCGGTAATTAAACAGTCCAGTTGACTGATGTTGAGGACATCCTGGTTTGGAGATGGTCGGATGATGGAGTGTATTCTTCGCGATCTGCCTACATGGCGCTCCATTCAGCCTCTCTGGTCACAAGCGCATTTGGGGTGCATGGGCACCTCTGGCTCGCTGTCGGACGATGGCATTGGGCCGTAGACCGGAGGCGCAGACAAGGATTGGACGTGGCCGAGCACTGCTTCCTAGAGGACGACACATGAATGAATACTGAAATGTTCCACCAACCACACTAGACAGACACCAGTGCTACAGTAGTCGTGCGGCCGTGCCAACACAAAGGCACGGGCCTGCCAGGCCCATCTTATTATGATGTTTGGGCCCATCCGAAAAGGGAAGAGTCCCATGTGAGAAACGGCCTTACAGGCCCATCTTGTTATGATGTTCGGGCCCATCCGAAAAAGGCCAAAATGGCTCCTTGTGAGGTTTCGCCGAGTGGGCTTCCAGGCAGCAGCCCATCCCCACTGCAATTTGCCATGCCGATGGATCGTCTCGTCCACCTGATTTCCTGAATCCTGGGTCCAGTTTAGTTCCAGAAAATTTTGCCAAATTTTTCAGATTCTCCGTCACATCAAATCTTTAGACGTATGCATGAAGCATTAAATATAAATAAAAAATAAAACTAATTACACAGTTTAGACGAAATTCACGAGACGAATCTTTTAAGCCTAATTAGACTATGATTGGACACTAATTGTCAAATAACAACGAAAAGTGCGACAGTACATTTTGCAAAAAAATTCGCCATCTAAACAGGCCCCTAATGAAATAAATGTATACAAATTCTGCTCAAGCGGTTGGTTACCAGCCGTCACGCTGAAGATTCTGCCATCTAGTGTGGTCGGTAGAGCGGGACGGCGGGCCTCGTAGTCCTCCTCCATGTAATCGCCGCGCGCAGAGCATGAGGACCTCCTGGGGGCCGGCTAGCTGCCATGGATGGACCTCATCAGAGACTCGGAGCTAGCAGTGTTTGCTAGTGAGTAGTGACACTGGCAGCGCGTAGTACAAACATACAATCTAATCCTGAATTCGTCGTGATAGTACCACCGATTGTTTGGTAGATCGATTAGCTGATGATGATAAACCTGCTGCTGCTGCTGCCAGAGCTAGTATGCATGTCACCCAGACCCAGATCGACCAGGTAGAGACATGCTAGATGGTGGTTGGTAGGTTGGAGGATGGGTCGCTGACCGTCCGTTTGACCAGCGGTGGCTACCACATAGTAACATATATACTGACCGAGACGTACAAATATTAGCCTGGCCTACCGTGCCACGGCATCAGCTGTGCCTCTGCGCGCGAGTTCCCACTGCAACTAGCTTGACATAGCTTTTGTCGTAATTTTTATTAGACGAGAAAAGGAAAAAAAAAACAGAGGACAAGAAAAAAAAACAACTGCAGCCTCAGCCCGTCAGCCGGGGAACTTGACATATGGTCGTTGTCCTGGTATATATATCTGTTCCGATCCTTGGCCAATGGCCAGAGAGAGAGAGCGAGCGAGCAGGGGCCGTCACGCTCATAATTCATCGGATCGATCCGTCACGTAATCTGACCCCAAACGCTCCGGATGCCTCCTGCGCATCAGCCTGATGGCTGACGGGTGCCATCCAATGATCCAAATGATTCAAGGCCTCAAGCAGTTCATTCAGCCGTCCTTTTCTTTTCTTATATACTAGCAGTGTAGTACATGTCTTTATCAAGAAAAGTAGTTCCTCCCTCAGTTCTAAATTATAATTCATTTGACTTTTTTTTGACCTCAAGTTTGACCGCTTGGTTTATTCAAAAAATTTGCGCAAACATAGTCAGATTTAAGTCATTTTTGAAGAACTTTTATTAATAAAAGAAGTGATATTTTATACAATTTTTTGAATAAGACGAGTGGTCAAACTTACGGTCAAAAAAGGTAAAATAAATTATAATTGAGAACGGATTTAGTATGTATTACTACCACTACCAGGATAATTATTATTCAACCGTCAGCCAACGTGACGTCGTCGTTCCATACATTAGCTCGTGGGTACACTGAATTTAATAGTTACACTGAGGCGGCATCCAGAGAAATGTTAGCACCGTTATAATACTCTGGTCAAACTTTTTTTAAAAATTTGACTAGATTTGTAGAAAAATGTTAGCACCATTTATATCTCCAAATAAGTTTATTATGAAAATAAATATATTTAAAGATCTATCCAATAAATATTAATATTTTGTTATATATATTTGGTCAAAGCTAAAGATAACTAACTTCTTGACAAGCGAAAATGGCTCTTTTTATGAGACGGAGGGAGTATCTCACCGGTACACATAATAATATTATAAAAGTATAATAGTATTCAGTTATCTGCACATGTTTTTTTTGTTTCTATATATTGTAACTAATAAATATTTGAAATATATACTATTATCTT